GAGCGGTGATACAAGGTCAGCCCCATCCAAGGCCCAGATTTATTTACAGAAGTTCTAATATCTGGGGTTCATTCTGACTCTAGGAGCCCAAACACTAGTTGTGGACTGGAAAAAGCAATCACTTCATTGCTGGTCCCACAAACAAAAAGGCAGCCCCAGGGTTTCTTGAGAATCGTGGGCTTCTATTGTATTTGGATTCTAAATTATGGCCTGACAGCTAAAGCCCCACGTGAGACTCTAAAAGGGGAAGAAAGAGAGCCCTTGGACTGGGAGAAGAAATGTCAACAATCTTTTGAACCCCTAAAAACTGAGCTGGGTCAAGCCCTCGCCCTTGAAAACCCCAACTGCGAAAAACCACTTACCTTGTATGTTTGTGAGACACTAGGAACAGCTTTGGGAGTCTTAACTCAAAAGTTAGGACCTGTTCAGAAGTCAGTGACTCATTTTTCAAAACAGATAAATCCAGTTGCACAGAAGTGGCCTGGCTGCTGGAGGGCAGTGGCAGCCACTGCCCTGCTGTTTAGTGAAGCATCTAAGCTGACACGGGGATGATATACAGAAGCTATGACTCCCCACCAGGTTCAGACTGGGTTAGAAGTCAAGGGGACACCAAGCTCTCTTATTAGACACCCTGGATATTACTTTGAGGGTATGTCAGACTTTGAACATGGCAACCTCACTCCCAACCACAGATGATGAGGACTCACAGCATCAATGCACAGAGCCCACAGAACACACTCCGGCAGGCCTGGCTTGTGAGATAAGCCTCTTGAGAATGCAAAGACTGAATGATAGCCTGATGGCAGTAGCTTTGTAGAGGGAGACCCAAAAAGCAGGACATGCAGTAGTAAGCCCGAAGGAGACTACAGAAACTAAAGCCCTTCCTCCCCCAAAACGGCACAAAAAGTGGCACCAGAGGCCTTAACAGAGCCTCACGACTGGGAGAAAGGGAGGGAGTAAATTTATACACCAACCCAAAGTATACGTTTCTCCTGCTGCGTGCCCATGTAGCCATATGGAAGGAAAAGGGAATGTTAACAGGTAAAAATTCCCTAGGCAAATGTAAGGATCCAATCCAACTTCTCCTGGAAGTGGCACAACTTCCCTGCCAGGTGGCAGTCATTCACTGCAAAAGCCACCAGAGGGACTGGTCTCTCATCAGCCAAGGAAACAGGGCCACAAAACAGGCAGCCTAGTTATAGGAACCCAGCAATGTGTCAGCCTTAATGACAGACCCTACCAACCTTCCTAACCACCTACAACATTCACAACAAGAGCAAGAGGAAGCCAAGGGGCAGGGGGACCAGGAAAACAGTGCTGGATGGTTCACAGATGGTGACAAGTTTTATTCCAGGAACTGACCACTGGAAACTTATTAAGTATCTATCTCCATGATGCCACTCATTAAGGGAGAGATGTTTTATGGAATTCTATCCATAAAATATTCACCAGAAAGACATTGAGAAAAACTGTAAAACAAGTAACCTTTGCCAGCGAATTGTGTGCCTGGAATAATCCCCAAACCCATCCAATTTCCCCCTCTTGACTTAAACTGGTTCAGCACAGGGGAACTTATCTGGGAGAAGACTGGCAGGTAGTTTTAACCCAAATGCCTCCAAATCTAGGGTACAAATATCTCCTGGTGTTTGTGGATACTTTTACTGGATGGGTCAAGACTTTCCCTACCCATACAGAAAAAGCAGTAGAAGTCTATAAATCTTCGCTAAAGAAGTAATTCCTCAATTTGGACTCCCCAAGTCCCCTCAGAGTGGTAACAGGCTCTCCTTCACAGCTAAGATTATTCAGAGCCTCTCTACAACCCTAGGACTAGATAATGAACTGGCACCCCAACCATCAGGGAAAGTTAAGATGAACCATACACTTGAGACGACTCTAGCCAAACTCTGTTAGGAGCCGCACGAGCCCTGGGTTAAGATGCTCCCAGTCTTCTTAGGGTCCGCAGGGCCCCTGCATGCAGACTAAGACTTAGTTCTTCTGAGATGATCTACCAGAGGCTTTTCCCCACCACTGACCTCCTGTTAGGTGAAGAATTACATTAAAAATTACAGTATCAATTTAGGACAGATCCAAAAAGCGATTTCAGAGTACAAAAACAAAATCCTTCCAGACCCCACTAAGGATGGGAAAACCCCTTTCCAAGCTAATCCAGGGAACCAAGTCCTTCTAAAGACTCGAAGGGCAGGCTCCCCGGAGAACCACCCCTTGCCTAAATGGGAGGGCCCTTACTGGGTGACCCTGACCACTCCAACCGCAGCCAAGTCACAAGGAATCACTAGCTGGGTACACCTCTCCCAATCAGAAATGCTTTCTCCTAAACGTTTCCAGACTCGCCTAGAAGGCCCATCTTACTCCTGAAAACCTGTGGAAGACCTCAAATTCAGGAGAACCAATTCATCATTGGAGAAGTAATGTGGTTAGAGATCTTGAGTCCAATACTTTTCCTCATATTACTAATTGTTTCACTATTATTCTGTTGCTTTGCTCAGCCTCCTCCCTCAGGTAAAGACTTTGTTTGTCCCTGCTGGGTATAAAGATGCTACTCCTTACTTTGTTCCTACTCCTCTCCATCAGGGCACAGGGTAGGCTAGATCCATTAAAATGGGAAATGATCTCTCTTGACAACCTTTCCAGCATTATAGCTTCAGGTCATAATTTGTCCAACTGCTGGGTGTGCTACCATCATCCCCAGGCTCAGAGGGGCTGCCTCTTCCATTCCCTAAAAGCTCAGCTACCAACTTCACAAAGGAGGTATGGAAACCTAAAATAACCTCTGTACCTCTTATTGTAGACCTAAGTATCTTCCTTTCCTTTGAATGTATAAACTTCATTGGGCTGCTAAATGCTTTGGTCACCAAAAAGGGTGGAAAAAAGAGAAGCTGGACTGCCTACTTTGGAATCCCACCGGGTTTTCTCTTAGCAGTAAAGAAAAACCCTAATCAAACTTGGGTTCAGGAAGGCTATCTTTTCCCCCATGCCAAAACAGTCATACCTCTCTCCAAAGCTTAGCTGCTCACCTGAACTCCTCTTGCCTTGTGTAAGTTTGTGCACCCATGGGGTATTCTGTTCCTTTGTGGACACCCAGACTGCCATCTGACCAACAGCTACCCCTCAGCCAATTTCACCTCTCCGTTACTTGCACTAGTGTGCCCTTGTGTGGATAATGTACAACGCAATGAGGAATGCACGTTAGGCACTTTAAGTCCCAGTGGAGTAACAGTTCATAATATCACACATGTGAAATCTAAAAGGGCAATAGGGCTAATTTTGGCCGGAGTTAGAATAGCCCCTTGGGGTGGCTCTGCCCCTTAGCAGCCCCTTGGGATGGCTTTGCATACTGTGAGGCGGCTTTGAGAAACCTTCAAACCCTTGAAACACTGGCAACTAGTAGAGGCAGAGCCATAAAAGGACGTCAAGCCCCCCTGCACTCCGTAGCCAATGCCGCCTTAGACAACAGACTTGCCCTGGACTATCTTCTCGCTGAACAAGGGCGGGTATGCGCAGTAATAAACCACATCTGTTGTTCTTACATTAACAGTTCAGGATTGGTTAAACTGCAAGTTCAAAAGATTTACCAAGACCAGGCACAATGGCTCATGCCTGTAATCCCAGCACTTTGGGAGGCCAAGGTGGGTGGATCGTTTGAGCCTAGGAGTTCGAGACCAGCCTGGGCAACATGGCAAAACTCCATCTCTACAAACTTACAAAAAAAGAAAAAAAAATTAGGTAGTCTTGGTGGCATGTGCCTTTATTCCCAGCTACTCCGGAGGCTGAGGTGGGAGGATCACCTGAGCCCATAAGGTTGAGGCTGCAGTAAGCCATGATGGCACCACTGCACTCCTATCTGGATGACAGAGTGAGACCCTGTCTCCAAAAGAAAATAAAAGTAAAGATTTACCAAGAGGCTACCTGGCTACATCTCAATAACACTACTGCTCAAATCATCTGGGACTCCATCAGTGCATACCTACAAAGTATGACATGGTTTTTACCTTTCTTCGGACCCTAAGTGGTCATTTAATTGCTATAACTTTTGGGGTATCGTGTTTTTAACCTTTTGGTAAAGTTTGTGTCTTTCAGGTTTCAATCGCTCCAAGTCAAGCTAATGATGGCCCAAGGATTCCAACCCATACCATCCCAGGAGCACCCCAGTCCCTACAAGCCTTTAGGACAGTCAGTGAGAGATTTCCCCACCCCCCGAAGTGAGGCAAGGACGACATCCCTGTTCAGCAGGAAGTAGCTTCAGAAGATGAGATCTTCAGCCCTTTCTCCTTAAGAATAGAGGGTGAAATCTCTCAAGGGAACTAAAGATAGAACAGAAATGGAATGGGGTTGCTTCTTCATAATATTTAACCATGCCTTCTACTTAAAGTTCCAGGAACTGGCCTTAGGAAATCTAAATATGAAACCAAGGTTATGGAGTGTCCCACCTCAGGAAGGAACACTGAACAACTGATTGACAGTCTTCGTCCCGCCAGCCAGACCACCAAGTGGCCCATTAATCAAGATAACCAACGCAACCAGATACACTGACCCGCATCCCCTACCCCTCACGTGCTTTGCCCGGCCCAGCCTGCATACCTTACTTGTGATGTCAATTCCCATGCTTCGCTAATAAAAACATCCCTGCAAGCCTCTTCAGGGAGCCAACAAGACAGTCCTTGAGCCTCCGCTGTCTCCCTAGTGCTTGAGTACAAGCCCCAAAAACAAAAACCTTGTCTGGGAAATCTGGTTGGCCTCGTGTTAATTTTAATTACGTGGGGAGCCACAGAGCCTGTGATCTGTAATAAGGAAATGTATATTGCATTTTGCAGACTGTACAACATGCTGGAATGAGTGCCAGGGCAAAAGAAAGTTGGTGGGGGGCAGTGAACGGAAGGCAACACCCTAAAGTGAAGTCTCTGGCATTCAGATCTGCCATCTCTTGAGAGCTAGATCTGAATTCTAGCTGGCTCTTGTTCTTCTGGCCACACCACACTTACTTGATACTGTGCAGCTTTCTTGTGACGATCATTGGAAAGTCAACCTCAAAATATTTACTTGGGAGAAGATCTTCATCCTGGGGAAAAACACACAATGCTTTTTATTTCTTTACTCTTACATGTGCTGATCATCTTCCACATATCAAGCACTAGGCACCTAAGAGCAATACAGTGTTTAAGGATTTTATATCAGGGGACTGATATGGGCAGACATGTTTTTCAAATTACTCATGAATAGATGTGAGGGAAGCAAGCACAGATGAAGGTAAAAGTCAGGATGCCAGAGGAGTTAGCCAGATAAGAAGGTAAGGTCCAGGAAGGAGCCTGAGCTAGGAGGTGGCAGCTGGGATGGTGGGGAGAGCTCAGAGGCGCTTTGGAAGTAGAATATACTCCATATTTTCAAAAGGCAGCTTGAGGCCAGGTGCAGTGGCTCATGACTGTAATCTCAACACTTCAGAAGGCTGAGGCAGGAGGATCGCTTGAGGCCAGGAGTTTGAGGCCAGCCTGGGCAACACAGCGAGACCCTGTCCATACAAAACAATTAAAAAGTTTAAACGATGTAACAACAACAAAAAAGGCAGCTTGAGCTCTATTAGGAGGGTCAGGAAATCAATGTAGTAGGTTTTGACGAGCATTAATTTTTGGATGAAATAGGTTAAAACAGCAAGTATCAAAAGCATCACATCTATTAAGGGTATTATTTTCTGATACTTTTTTTTTTTTTTTTGAGACAGAGTCTCGCTCTGTCACCCAGGCTGGAATGCAATGGCACAATCTCAGCTCACTGCAACCTCCACCTCCCGGGTTCAAGTGATTCTCCTGCCTCAGCCTCCAGAGTAGCTGGGATTACAGGTGCCCAGCCTCTGATACATTTTTCTCTGTGATAGTGAAGTATGGTAGATTAAAGAACAGGCACTCTTGGAGCTGGAGGGGCTCAAAAACCAGCTCCACTACTTATATGCTGTAAGGTCTTGGGAAAGTCAGTAAACTCACGGGGCCAGGATTTACTTGTTTGAAAAGTGAGGAAGCTGGGCACCGTGGCTCATGCCTGTAATCCCAGCACTTTGGGAGGCTGAGGCAAGCACATCACAACGTCAATAAATCGAGACCATCCTGGCCAACATGACGGGGGTGAAACCCCATCTCTACTAAAAATACAAAAAGTAGCTACTCGGGAGGCTGAGGCAGGAGAATCGCTTGAACCCGGGAGGCGGAGGTTGCAGTGAGCTGAGATTGTGCTACTGCACTCCAGCCTGGGCGACAGAGCGAGAGTCCATCTCAAAGATAAAAAAAAAAGAAAAGTGAAGAAAATGCTAACACTTCATGGGGTTGTGAGGATTAATGAAGCAATACATGTGGGGCTCACAGGAAAGGGCCTGACCTTAGTAAAATTATCACACGGGGATCCAAAGAGCCTATGAGCTATAACAATAAGGGAAGGTATACTGTGTTTTCAATACTGCACAACGTGCTGGAAAGAAGGTCCCAGGGCAAGAAGGAAAGTGGGGCGGGGATCAAAGGAAAGTGGGGCAGGGATCAAAGGAAAGCAGCACCCTAAAATGAGGTCTCTAGCATTCAAATCAACACTGTGTGTGCCTTTATTACTGCAGACACAGGTACAGAGACGGGGGCCCTGGCTTGGGATGTAACATTTCTTCTTGTGGCCTGCAGTCAAATAAATATGAAAGACACACATACTCACACAACCACAGACACACACACACATGCGCACACACAGCCCTGGGTCACCTGGCTTGCTTGGTAGCTACACCCTCCCTACCCAGTCACGCGCACATCATCCTATCATCCTAGTGTTCTCTCCGTGCCCTCCTCGCCATCCAGCCACCCAGTACCTCAGCCCTGCTGATGCCTCTGGAATCCCTCCACTCCTCCTGAGCTCTATCACCTCCAACCCAGACTGTCCCAGCGCCGCCTCTGGTATCTCAAAGCTGCACACTGCTGTGCACTGCACTAGCCGCTGCCGGTGGCCTTCCGCAGCTCTGCACACTGCTAAAACTCAGCAAGAAACAAGGCACTCCACAGCCTGGCCCACCTGCCCAGCCTCTCCCCTTCTCCCCGCCACCACTTATCCCAGAAATACAGAACTACTTTTTTAAAACAAAGACGACTGCTGACATCCAGAACCTGGTGATGGCTTCGCTGGTAGAGGACGGGATGGAGGAAAAGGAAAGGCAGGGTGACACCTTGTTTCTGACTGGAGCAACTGGGCAGGTAAGAGAACCATTCATGGAGACAGTAATAGGAGATGGAGCACAAGTATGGAGGGACAGATGAATCCCAGGGGATGAGTGGGGGATAGCAGACCTCCTGTGGACAGCATGATGGGGGCAGAAATCACCTGCAACCATGTACTACTAGATAAGTAACCCTTAAGAGCAAACATCAGGGCTGAAAGATACAGCACCCTCCCACATACAGACCAGTCCTCTGCTGGAATCCCAGAGGACCCAACCTGGGCTTTTTCTTTTTTTTTTTTTTTTTGAGATGGAGTTTCGCTCTGTCGCCCAGGCTGGAGTGCAGTGGCGCCATCTCGGCTCACTGCAAGCTCCACCTCCTGGGTTCACACCATTCTCCTGCCTCAGCCTCCCGAGTAGCTGGGACTACAGGTGCCCGCCACCTCGCCCGGCTAATTTTTTTGTATTTTTAGTAGAAACGGAGTTTCACCATGTTAGCCAGGATGGTCTCAATCTCCTGACCTCATGATCCACCCGCCTCGGCCTCCCAAAGTGCTGGGATTGCAGGCGTGAGCCACTGCGCCCAGCCGGCTTTATCTTTTTAAAACAAAAAAGGTGGGCCAAGTACAGTGGCTCACACCTGTAATCCCAGCACTTTGGGAGGCCGAGGCAGGAGGACTGCTTGAGCCCAGGAGTTCAAGACCAGCCTGGGCAACATAGCAAGACCCTATCTCTACCAAAAGTACAAATTAGCCAGGCATAGTGGCTTGCACCATAGTCCCCAGTTACTAGGAAGGCTGAGTTAGGAAGATCGCTTGAGCCTGGGAGGAGGCAGCTGCGGTGGGCTGAGATTGCATCACTGCACTCCAGTCTGGGAGACAGAGCCAAATCCTGTCACAAAAGCCATCCCAGGAGACCTGGGCTCCTGAATCTGAGCTGATCACACTTAGAGGTACAGTCCATGCCTGCTGGGTAGGGTTATGCAGAAGCTATTTCAAGATACTTGAGGGGGGCCAGGTGTGGTGGCTCATGCCCGTAATCCCAGCACTTTGGGAGGCCAAGGCGGGTGGATTACCTGAGGTCAGGAGTTCGAACCAGCCTGGCCAACAGAGTGAAACCCTATCTCTACTAAAAATACAAAATATTAGCTAGGCGTGGTGGTGGGTGCCTGTAATCCTAGCTACTCGGGAGGCTGAGGCAAGAGAATCGCTTGAACCCACGAGGCAGAGGTTGCAGTGAGCTGAGATCATTACACTCCAGCCTGGGCAACGAGAGCAAAACTCTGTCTCTCAAAAAAAAAAAAGCTACTTGAGGGATATTGAGGGATATGGGTAGAGGGGAAATGGAAATAACTTTCCCTAGGAATTTCAATTTCTACAACACCTTTTAAGAACTTTTGCTCACAGTGTATGGGAAGTTAAGGATCACCTAAAATTCCAGAAGACAACAAGAACAACATTTTCTTGGTGCTAAAAAAAAAAAAAAAAAAAACATATGAATGAAAGGTAGCATACTGCCCCGCAGCTCTTATGGGACTTCTTCCTTTTTAAAGAGCTTTCCCACGCATTAGCACTCCCGAACCTTGTAAAACTTCTGAATAAGAGGTCAGAGCAGAGAAAGCTTACAAAAGGCACACCCGGACCTCTTAAAAAGACATGCTGCCAGTGTGGTGACTCACATCTCTAATCCCAGCACTTTAGGAGGCTGAGGCTGGTGGATCACTTGAGGCCAGGAGTTCAAGACCAGCCTGGCCAACATGGTAAAACCCCATCTCTACAAAATAGCCAGGCACGGTGGTGCGTATCTATAATCCCAGTTATTCGGGAGGCTGAGGCAGGAGAATCGCTTGAACCTTGGAGGCAGAGGTTGTAGTGAGCGGAGATCACACCACTGCACTCCAGCCTGGGAAACAGAGTGAGACTCTGACGGGTTGACCGGTGCAGCAAACCACCACGGCATGTGCATACCTATGTAACAAACATGCACGTTCTGCACATGTACCCCAGAACTTATTAAAAAAAAAAAAAAAAAAAGAGAGATCCTGTTTCTTGAGAAGGGGGCAAAATGACTGTGTGTGACAAGTGATGCTTCAACTTCTTATTCTGTGATTCCTGATGGCCCTTTTGACATTTCACCCCAAATAGCCTGCATGCAACTGACTGGAATGGAAGACACCGAGACTGGGAACAGCTGCCACAGGGCAGGAGGAATGGGGCACCCAAAGAGGACTCAACATGGCTGACCACCTCACAGACTGCCAAAAGTGACCCTGCTTCCCTCCACAGGGAGATGGAGAGAAGTAGGTTGTACAAATCCTTTGGTTCTATGGAAACAGAATTCCGGAGACACCAAGAAATGGAGACCCCTTAAAGCATTTCACTCACCCATTATTCCCTTTTTTTTTTTTTTTTTTTTTTTTGCGACAGGGTCTCGCTTGGACGCCCAGGCTGGAGTGCGGTGGCGCAATCTCGGCTCACTGCAGTCTCAACCTCTGGGACTCAGGTAATCCTCCCACCTCCGCCTCCCAAGTAGCTGGGACCACAGGTGTGCACCACCATGCCTGGCTAATTTTTTTTATTTTTTGTAGAGATAGGGTTTTGCCATGATGCCCAGTCTGGTCTCAAACTCCTGAGCTCAAGCAATTCACCCACCTTGGCATCTCAAAGTACTGGGATTACAGGCGTGACCAACTGCACCTGGCCCCTTTATTCCTTTTTTGTGACAAGACTAACTCTTCTTTGTCCTGTTCCTGCTCACTGCCAGCAGATGGGAGTCTTTAACTGTACAGTCTTGGGCTCCTGAGATTTTACGGAACAAGCTCACACCCATGACTCACAGCTAAACTTCTGCTGGTACAACCTAGGAACCATTACGGCTGGAAGGTGCATGAGACACTAAAACCCACAGACGATGTTTTTGCTACGCTTTTAGAGACACGCACATACCTCTAAAACAGAGATTGGCAAACTGCTTCTGTAAAGAGCCAGAAAGTAAATATTTTAGCCTTTGCAGGCCAGATGGTCTCTGTGGTAACTACTCAACTCCGCTGTTACAATTGTCATATGGCTGCTGAAGCACAATATGCAAACAAATGGGAGTGGCTGTCTTCCAATAAAACTTTATTTACAAAAACAGGCTGTGGGCCAGATTTGGCCCTGGGCTACAGTTTGTAACACCTGCTCGAAAAAAGCAAACAAATGTAATACGTGTATATATATATATTTATATTTTAAAAGAAACTTCAGACCAAAAAAAAGGTCTTCAACCCAATATAATTACCAATCAAAACCAAAATATTTCCACAAAGAACTTTCAGACACTATACAGTCTTCCTTCCTCACTCCTGACTGACTGCCTTTTTCTTAGGAGGGGTACATAAGCCTCAGGGTACTTTGCTCAGAAATAAGAGGTTCAGATTTATTATTAATCCACCTACAAGACAGGAGAAAAAATAAAACCAATTGCAAGACAAATCAAAGGGGTCTCAGGTCCAATGGCAGGATCTCTCCAGCGGCGTCTGTTAACACTGACATAGCACATTCTCTCACACTGTACTGTGCTCTGGTTCCTCACACCACACCATGGGACAACTCATTACAAAAACACAACAGGTCAGCCTGGTGTAGTGGCTCATACCTGTAATCTCAGCACTTTGGGAGGCTAAGGCAGGTGGATCACTTGAGGCCAGGAGTTTGAGACCAGCCTGGCCAACACAGTGAAACGTTAGCTCTACTAAAAATACCAAAATTAGTCATGCGTGGTGGTGAATGCCTGTAATCCCAACTACTAGGGAGGCTAAGGTAAGAGAATCGCTTCAACCCGGGAGGTGGAGGTTGCTGTGAGCCAAATCATACCACGGCATTCCAGCCTGGGTGAGAGAGTAAGACTCTGTCTCAAAAACAGTGACAGAAAAACAACGACACAACAGATCTACAGAAAAGGGAAGGTCACCCTCCTGAAAAACCAGAGGCTGTGTGCAGGGGAAAGAGGAAGAAATGTGGAGTTTAATGGGCAGATTCCAATGCTTGATCCCTGCCCCAGAGCCTCTGGCTGCAGGATCCTGGAAGACAATCTTGCAGTCCCATTTCCTTCGTCTGTGCAAAACACCCTTACAGAGTTCTCGAGTTAATTCATGAGGTCACGTATGTAAAAACACTTCATAATGTCAGTGATTATATCTTGAGAAGAGAATGCAGAGGCAAACAAATACCTACACTCTGTTGAGGTCACTGATTTCTCACTTTAGTAAGAGAAGGGTTGAGAGCTCTGATGACCAAAGACCTTCATATCAGGTAAACTGATTAGGGACAAAACAGATAAGCAGGTCTTGGTCAACATCCACAAAAAATCTGGAGAAACGCACGTACCCATTACTGTCACATGACAGACCTGATAGAACCAAGCAAAATCTGTACAAACCTACCAAAAAAAAAAAAAAAAAAGCAATTAGTGAGGACTTTTTTTTTTTTTTCTTTTTCAGAGACAAAAGCCTCACTCTGTTACCCAGGCTGGAGTGTAGCGGCACAATCTCGACTCACTACAACCACCGTTCTCCTGGGTTCAAGCAATTCTTCTGCCTCAGCCTCCCGAGTAGCTGGGATTACAGGTGCCCACCACCACACCCAGCTAATTTCTGTATTTTTAATAGACACAGGGTTTCACCATGTTGGCCACGCTGGTCTCTAACTCCTGACCTGAAGTGATCTGCCCACCTCAGCCTTCCAAAGTGCTGGGATTACAGGCATGAGCCACCATGCGCGGCCAATCAGTGAGGACTTTGTAGGGAAACGATTTGGCTATAAAAACTAAGCCCAAGAGGCCAGGCACAGTGGCTCACGCCTGTAATCCTAGCACTTTGGGAGGCCAACGTGGGCAGATCACAAGGTCAGGAGATTGTGACCAGCCTGGCCAACACGGTGAAACCCCATCTCTACTAAAAATACAAAAATTAGCCAGGCGTGGTGGTGTGCACCTGTAGTCCAAGCTATTCAGGAGGCTAAGGCAGAAGAATCACTTGAAGCCGGGAGGTGGAGACTGCAGTGAGCTGAGATTGTGCCACTGCACTCCAGCCTGGGCAACAGACCAAGACTATCTCAAAAAAAATAAATAAATAACTAAGCCCAGGAGTCAAAGACCACACTCTAGTTTTCTTTCCCTGTGAGAATGTAATTAGACCTGCATTCATACTCTAACAGAGCAGTTAAGAGACCAAATCAGAAAAAGACTACAAAATGGCTTTGCAACATATTGTCATCACCTAGCCATACAAATCTCCAAATTTTACCCAAGATGCCATTATCCTGACAAAATCTTAGTTACTGTCAAAATTACAAATGTAGGCTGGGCACAGTGGCTAATGCCTGTCATCTCAGCACTTTGAGAGGCTGAGGCAGGAGGACTGCTTGAGGCCAGGAGTTCAGGACCAGCCTGGGCAACATAGTGAGACCACTGTCTCTACAAAAAAACTTAAAAATCAGCCAGATGTGGTGATGCATGCCTGTGCTCCCAGCTACATGGGAGGATCGCTTAAGCCCAGGAGTTCGAGGCTGCAATGAGCCATGATCGTGCCACTGCATTCCACCCTGGGCGATGGGATAAGACCCTGGCTCAAAAAAAAAAAAAAGTTATAAATACATGCATGGGCTCTCCATTCCAGCAATTCTACTGGCGGAATTTTTCCTCCTGACATATTTCTACTCATACTGAGGGAAATATAAGGGTTTTTATTATAGCTCCATTTGTAACAACAATTAGAGACAACCTAAAATATGTGTCTCTAGGGCCCTGGTGAGATAAAACAGGACTGACAGTCGTAGCGGCATCTAGGCAGATAGGACACGGGTGGGAGACAGGTTTTCGCTGCAGAACTTTTCATATATTTTTAAATTTCGAATTAGGTGAAACTCTTCCAAAAATGAAATCTAAACACTTGGAGAGAGAGGAGGGGAATTTGAACATACCTTTAATCTCCAGAAGGTGGTATCCATGCCTGCCCCAAGGTTGATAATTTGACAATGACATTCTGTCTTCCGTAGAAACGCCTTTATAAGCTGACTGACACCATGGACTCGGGCAAAATATCCTGAGGGGAGGGCACAGAAACAAGCTATCACACAGTGATGACAGAAATTATCCCTGTGAAGCCCACCCCAGCAGAAGAGCAAAACAGAAAGCATGCACCCTTCTGCAGTGTCAGAGGTTAACCTGCAGACTTTATGGGAGAAATAGCAACTTTCAAATTCTCTTTGTTGTTGTTGTTGTTGTTTTTGTTAAAGGCATCTGAACCAAGGTAAGTACAATCTATTTCATAAAGCAATTAACTGTCTTTGAAAAAAATGAGCTATATTTTTATATATGAAAAATAAGTGTTTTACTTTGAAATGTCTGAAGTCCATCTTGGAAATGTGCCTTTCATGGCTATCCTGAAAGCTACTCTGGACTCAGGTAAACCTGAAAATTGTGAGATCACATGAAAAATAATATTATGGGTCAGGACACTGAGCAGATGAATGTTAACACAAAGGAAGCTATATTTGTTATCCTGTTCCCTTCACCTCCACCCTGAATGGGTTAGTCTCTATGTAAAATGGGGGTCACAGAGAAGACCAGCAAATTGCTGCCTAATAAAATGGCTTGCTGCTAAAAACACAAAAATGAGCCAGGCATGGTGGTGCACAACTGTAATCCCAGCTTCTTGGGAGGATGGACCACAAGAATTGCTTGAACCCAGGAGGCAGAGGTTGCAGTGGCCCAAGATTGCGCCACTATTAAGTTTTCGGGTGGAGGGTTGGGGAAAAGGAGATGGGAAATAAAGAAGAAAAGACCACAAGGTCTGCCTGTGCTCTAAAACTCTGCTGCTCAAAGTATATGCACGGTTGTTAACAGTATGTGACTACTTTAAGAAAAAAACCTGATAGCATTTAGAAACTTTATTACAATTTGGCAGAGAAATTTCAAGCCTGTTCAATCTACTAATAAATGATTTGGAATTGTACATTGTATGTCATTTTCATTTTATTTTTCTAGATCATTTCTGTTGTATTTTACAGAGCTATCATCCATGATGGATTGGACATTGGGGGAAAAATGTCGTCACCATACACCATTTAGGAGGCACTCCAATTTGGCTGCATTCTAAAGGTTCAAATCCAGGGTAGAAGAGAGGGGTGCTGCCAGGGCGGGGGGTGGGGGTCTTTGCCTGTGCAGCGTTTGTTAGGAAATCTGCCTCAAAAGCAGGGGAGGGAATGCAAAATAAAATTTCATGTCCTTGTTTTCAGAAACCACCACTTTAAAATTTCTTGGCATTTCTTATAGAACCCACCTACGGGATCCAACTTGAGGGCCAAGATTCCCTGCACACACAAGAATTATGGTCATTTGGTCAATTTCTCAATCTGGCCGAGAATAAGGCAGGCTTCTGTCTCAATGCCTTTGACTTCACTGATGGAAATTATTTGCCTAATAGTGTCATTAACACTAAAATAAGGCAACAAAAGTAATTCTCCATCTCTTCCCTCTCAGGCTTTACACTGCTAAGCCAGAAAGGAGCTGAATGACTACCTTTCCTGCATACTCTGCTGTCTGGGAAAGAGTAACTGGGGACTTAACACATTCAGGCTGCTGCCAATCAAACGTTGCACATGGCACATGCATGTCCAGATAGAAACTTCTCTTTATGCTCTGGAGTTTCTAAGGGGCAGGCATCTGAAACAATATTCTAGTTATGTTCTGGAACAAGTTGCCTGTTGGTGCAAGCTTCAAAATACATAAATACTTAAATGGCCAACCCTATGCAAACTGTGAGCTGGGGAGGAAAATAAATCTATTGAAGACTTTTTTTTTTTTGAGACAGGGTCTCGCTCTGTCACCCAGGATGGAATGCAGTGGTACAATCTTAGCTCACTGCAGCTTTGATTGCCTGAGCTCTAGTGATCTTCCCACCTCAGCCTCCCAAGTAGCTGGGACTACAAGCACATGCCACCACACCTGGCTAATTTTTTTTTATTTTTTTGTAGAGACAGGGTTTCACCATGTTGCCCAGGCTGGTCTTGAACTCCTGAGCTCAAGTGATCTACCTGCCTTGGCCTCCCAAAGTGTTAGGATTGCAGACATGAGCCACCACACCCAACTCTGTTAAATAATCTTTTGTTTTTGAGATGGAGTCTCACTCTGTTGCCCAGGCTGGAGTGCAGTGGCGCACTTCCGGGTTCACGCCTTTCTTCTGCCTCAGCTTCCTGAGTAGCTGGGACTACAGGTGCCCGCCACCACGCCTGGCTAATTTTCTGTATTTTTAGTAGAGATGGGATTTCACCGTGTTAGCCAGGATGGTCTTGAACTCCTGACCTCGTGACCTGCCTGCCTTGGCCTCCCAAAGTGCTGGGATTACAGGGGTGAGCCACCGCACCCAGCCCTGTTGAAGAATCTTGAAGGCCAAATCTCCTAAGCCTAGGCCTACTGCTGTCAGCACCTCTGAGCCCTCCCTCATATGAGAATTACCAGGTCTCACAACACTTTCCCTCCCGCCCACAGTGGAGAACGTCAACAAAGCTGTAAAAGATCCACGTCCTCTAGACTTACAACCCTCAAGCTGTGCAACTGGGCAGAAATCCTCAATTTCCATCCTTAGGGAAGATTCATATACACAGACAAGAGGCGTGAAAACTAAGATATGCTCAGCCTGAAATATACAAAAGCCTTTGGAATGTCTCCTTATAGACACTGGGTTATAGAAGAACCCAATTAAATACACATAATTAGTCCACACACCTAGATGAGCCATAGGCAACCAACCAACCAGAGGAAAAGTCTGATGTAAACTCTGAGAGACTGTCCCCCTCATAACTGTACTATAAAGCAGTTTCTCCGTATTTATCCAATTAGAGTAGGAATACACATGTGAAAAATAAAGCTTTATGTATTTTTTTCTTTGGGGAAAAAAAAGTGATTACTGATAGGGACAGTTTACAGTGAAAGATGTTTAAATGGGCTTCAAACATATGAAAATGATCTTCAATGTTACCTATAAATAGGAGAAATATTTTTAAAATTGCAGTAAGATACCATTTTTCACACGACAGATTAACAAAGATTAGTACTTTTTTTTCCAATTCATTAAATTTAATAAAATTTCAAACTCTCATGATTTTAAAGTGGAAGTAGATACTGTGTTCTTTTTTTTTTCTTTTTTAAGTTCCGGGATACATGTGCAGAATGTGCAGGTCCGTTACATAGGCATACATATGCCATGGTGGTTTGCTGCACCCATCAACCTGTCATCTAGATTTTAAGCCCCGCATGCACTAGGTATTTATCCTAATGCTCTCCCTCCCCTTACCCCTCACCCCGACAGGCCCCAGTGTGTGATGTTCCCCTCCCTGTGTCCATGTGTTCTCACTGCTCAACTCCCATTTATGAGTAAGAACATGTAGTGTTTGGTTTTCTGTTCCTCTGTTGGTTTGCTAAGAATGATGGCTTCTAGCTTCATCCATGTCCTTGCAAAAGAAATGATCTCATTCCTTTTTAAGGCTGCAAACAAGTTTTATAACACACCATGTTGGTGAGGATCTGGTGAAATAAGCACTTTTGCGCACAGCTGGAAAGGGAGCAGACCACGACTCCCTTCAAGAATGAACCCCTAAAACCTCAGGCAGCTGATGAGGTGCTGTTGGGCAGGGAGATGGTCGCTTGCCTCTGTTGATTTCGGGGGCTTTCCTCTCTTTAGACAGTCTCACAAAGTGCTGGATGTAAGGGTCGTGCCAGTAGCCAATGCTTACTGCAAACCTGGAAGGGAGGAAAAAGGAGGAAGGTGAGTAGAGATGGAGTAGGTTCAGGCCAAGGTCCACCGCCAAGTTCCCAGGAACCAGGTCAAGGAACTCGACAAAAACCAACCATCCACCTCAAAAGGCCAAGTGCATGTTTAGTGGCCCTTTACACATGTGAAGACGCAGCCATCCATTCATCTTTATGTTCATATTACATCACCCATCACATTGCCCACAGTGGACCTTCTCACTCCCTTTCCTCATATTGCTAATTCACTTCCCAGGACCCTACATAGCAAATAACCTCACTTCATGCTTCATACAGAAGATGTGCAGCCATTTATTCACTCCACAAACTCACGGCCACAGTTAGTTAATTCCACTAAATGAAAAGGCCTGTGCCCAGAGGAAGGGCGACTCAGAAACACTCGACAAACAGCATGAATTAACCCAAGTGTTTCTCCTGACTCTGTATTAGGTGCCGTCCTCTTACTCCCCTTACAGGAACAAATGAACACAGCAAGCACGAAAAAAACAATGTGGAAAATGCCACAGGAGCCTTAATTCTCTCTACCCAGTCTATGCCACAAGGAGTTAAGGCTTCGTTTAGCACAGGAAGCCTTCTTGCAACCATGAGTAGAACCAGCTTTAGGATGACTGAGGAGTCATGAAAAGAACCTGGATCCTGAAGGCCATGCTCAGCTGCTCTGGGCCTGCGGACTGCTCTACCTCTAAACATCAATTTTGTGAGATAGTAAGTGTCTTCACCCTTTTAGCCAATGTGAGTCAGGCTTCTGTTACTTGCAGCCCAAAGCATCCTAGTGATACCCTGAGTAATACCCCCATTTCCTGTTGCCTGCTAAGTAAGGTGAAATTTAGGGTATGGGTGTGTCATGTCTCTGAGCTTCTAGAAGCAGATCATATAGCTTTAAATCTACTACTAAGGCTTACCTCTGGCCTGACTACAGTAAGTGTTGAACTCTGCACAATCTCCAACCTCTTTCATCCACAGGCATCCAAAAAGCAGCACATGTTCAGCTGCTCCATGCAGCAACTCAACACAGAAACGTGCAAAATATTCACTAATGGACACGATCTGTTATACAAGCCCAGACTGTCCAAGGAAAACAGCATACCCACACAGTCTTATAACAGCATACTTTAAAAATGTTTTCAAACAGTCATGACCCATTAATACAATAAATTCATTTGTAAATCTGCAATTTTTAAAAAATGTCGAACAAAGTAAAACAAAAAATAGGATGCATTACATATAGTAAGGATTAAGACATTCATGACACTTACTCCCGGCTTCAAGGGATTCTCCAACCTCCGCCTCCAAAGGTGCTGAGATTACAGGCGTGAGTCACCATGCCCAGCCTACTTCTGTTTCAAGTGTGTGTTGAAGGTATAAGTGCAATGAAAAACATATTTTCTCAGTGTGGTTGGCAATTTGGGAAACGCTGATTTCAAAGAAATCATATAGTGTCATCTAGTGGTAAAAGCCACATCTGCAGTTGAAACAAGAATGATAGCCCAGCAACCCACAGATGAGAATACTCATCCCACAGTTTTAAGGATTGGAAGGGACCATAGAAATGATCTCATCAACCCTAATAACCAGTGCAAGAACCAATGCAACAAGAAGTCACTGCTTGACTACTTCCCCAAGGAAGGCACCCACCCCACTGCTAAGCAGCTCTGTTGAAAAGCTGATTAATTTGCCTCCCTCTGGAAGCCATAACTTGTTGGACTCTTGGACAATAAAGAGCAGGTTCTATCCTCTCACCTCTGGATTCTTCACACTATTCAATACTAAAGTTTAGTCAAGGAACATGTGGGTGTCTGCCAAGTGCTAAGCACTGCAGGCACAGTGGTAAACAAGGAGAGAAAGGAGAGAGAAAGATAATTACAAGATGATGAGGAACGAAGGCTGTGACTCATAGAGGGGATGAAGGTGACAGGGGAAGACCACTCTCAGAAGGGGATGGTCGTGGCAAGCCCTGGAGAATGGAAGAGTCAGGTGTCCCAAAAGCATTCCAGACAGGAGAAAGGGCAGGCAAAAAGGCTCAGGGAACACACCTGAGCCTCCAGTACAGAGAGGAGGCAGGGAGGCCGGAGGACAGCAAGAAACTGGAGAGGAGGCCAGAGGGAGAAGCAGGCTCAGGATGCAGGGCCTGGCGGGCATCTAGGACTGACCTCAGGAGCACCCTGTCCATGGTCACAGGGGTGCACAGTGGTAGAGAGTGGTGAGATGCACGGGTCCATAACACAAACACACCCAGCCAGCAACTCCCACCGGCTCCCACCTCCTAGTGCCCCTAACACTTTCCTCCTCCCACTCTGCAAACCCAGGTGACTGCAACAGGTTTCCATGCACCCTAGGAAGAAGGATCTCACTGTCCAGCCTATCAGAGTGGCCAAGATGAAAAGATGTGCCACCCAGTGTTGGGCAGTGAGGAGGAGAGTGCTATTGAGGGCTGCTGATGGGAGTTCTGAAGGGAGACAAGCAGCAAGTTTCAGGATGTACAGGACATCAGCTGGAGAGTAAGTGAATCAACTGCTGAACAAACTGGCAACAAAATTATTATTATCATTGTTTGTTTTTTTGGAGAAGGAGTTTTGCTCTTGTGGCCCAGGCTGGAGTGTAATGGCGTAATGTCGGCTCACTGCAACCTCCGCCTTCCAGTTACAAGCGATTCTCCTGCCTCAGCCTTCCGAGTAGCTGGGATTACAGGCGCCTGCCATAACGCCTGGCTAATTTTTGTCTTTCTAGTAGAGATGGGGTTTCACCATCTTGGGCAGGCTGGTCTCGAACTCCTGATATCGTGATCCACCCGCCTCAGCCTCCTAAAGTGCTGGGATTACAGGCATGAGCCACCACGCCCAGTCCAACAAAACTATTATTTAATCGAACTTGGCTTTGGAGAGGGATAAGGAAGAGGGCACTCAAGCTGCCGGAACCTTAAACTGGCACAATCACACTGCAAGGCACTGTGATGACAAGTATAAAAGGCCTGAAACACATGCATGCACAATGACCACACAATCCCATTTCTAGGACTTAATCCTAAGAAAATCATCAAGAATGGGCACAAAGATTTCTCTGCAGGAACACTGAACACAGAGTGACAGTATCAGGTGAACAAACCCGGTTACAAAACTGTATGTATAGGACGTTCCCAATTTTGTTAGAGAATACATACACACGCAAGGCTGCCCACAGCAGACACCAAAGTGCTAATACACTGTCATCTCTGCACCCTGCATGACACTGTGCATCCAGTTCTGCCTGTCCATTTCCATTACACGTCTCCGCTCCCAAAACCCAGAGAGTATCACTTCTATTTGTACATCCTGATTTCACATTGAAAGCCAGACTCAGAGAATCAAACATCTCAGATCTGGAAAGACCTCAAAGATTTTCCCAGTTTTCTTTCAATCCACCAATGCTTTCAGTTTCCATGACATTCACATGCCACCTGTTCAATTTAGTGTGTCTTTAAATCACTCACTTTTTAAAAATACCGAGGTCTGAGGTGCTAATATTTTCTGCTAACACAACACTGTAATAATTAGCTAACTACAAAAATGATAAATATCTGTGTAACACCTAAAATCATCTCTTTCCTCCCACGGGAAAGGCAGATCTGGTCCAATCACCTAATGCTTCATTCAAGAAGCATTTACTGACTGAGTCCTATCCCCACGAGTGTCAACTGGAACAACGGGGCCTTCTTCTGAAAGGTGTGAAATCCCCTCCAACAGCCGTTTCCTCATCTGAAGCGTCAAAGAATGAAAAGGGGCCTCCCTGCTCACCTGGCCTATGAGGATCAAGCCTGGAATCTCACTTCTTTCAACAGTCATCAAGTGCTTACTATGTGCCAGGCATTATTCCAAATGCTTGATAAAATATGAATACACACAAACAGGAACCCTCATAAGACCCTACAAGGCAGGCTCGGCTTTATAGACTGAAGTTAAGTCAGTTATATCAGCTGTGGAACTTAATTCTATCAACATAGAGAACTGAAAGTTCAATGTAGGTGTTCAAACTTACCTGGATTTAAATCTGCCTCCCCATACACACTTGTTTTTTCCCCTCATAACACTTGAGTTGCTTAAATGATGTGTGTGTTTGTACACATGTACACATAAGACGTGTTGCTTTAAGATGAGGATACATTCTGAAAAAACATGCTGTTAGGCAATTGTTGTGTAAATATCACAGAGTGCACTTACACAAAGCTAGATGGTACAGCCCACTACACACCCAGACTACAAGGTATAGCTAGTGCTCCTAGGCTACAAATCTCTATAGCACACTGTACTGAATAATGCATACAACCGTAACACAATGATAAGTATCTAAACATAGCTAACTTAGAAAAGGTATCGTATCTATGGATCACTTGCGGTCAGGAGTTCAAGACCAGCCTGGCCAACATGGTGAAACCCTGACTCTATTAAAAATACAAAAATTAGCTGGGTGTCGTGGCAGATGCTTGTAATCCCAGCTACTCAGGAGGCTGAGGCATGAGAATCCCCTGAAACCAGGAGGCAGAGGTTGCAGTGAGCCACGATTGTGCCACTGCACTCCATCCTGGGTAATAAGAGCAAAACTCTGTCTCAAAAAAAAAAAAGTACCATATTTCAACATAAACACAGAAAAGGTACAGTAAAAATACAGGATAAAACATAAAAAATGGGCCAGGCATGGTGGCTCACGCCTGTAATGGGAGACGGAGACAGATAGATCACCTGAGGTCAGGAATTTGAGACCAGCGTAACTAATATGATGAAACCTTGCCTCTACTAAAAATACAAAAAATTATCCGGGCATAGTGGCATGCACCTGTAATCCCAGCTACTTGGGAGGCTAAGACAGGAGAATCACTTGAACCCGGGAAGCAGAGGTTGCAGTGAGCGGAGATCGCACCATTGCACTCCAGCCTGGGAAACAAGAGTGAAACTCTGTCTCAAAAAAAAAAAAAAAAAGAAAAAGATAAAAAATGGTAC